TTATTGAGGCACAAAATGATTCCAGATTCTCATCTTTTGCATTATATGGATGCCATTTTGGGTTCACTTCAGAGGCTGATATTTCAACAACTGGTTGAAGGAACGGGTTGATTTCAAGTGTCAATAAAAGGTGGAAGACTCCGGCATCAAGGACAGGTGTTTGCATCACTGTAGGTACAAGCATCAAGGAGTTATTAAGGAACCAAATCATTCCAGATTCTCATCTTTTGAGTGCACCCATAGATGCAAATCTGGAATGACTTTGAAGGCCAATTCTGCAAAGGCAAAAAGAGAGAGAACCTCATTCCATGTACCAGTGGGAGGTTTAAGAGTGCCTTACCACATACAGGTGGCTGCATCGCTCTAGTCACATTAATGATGAGTTATTAAGGAAGAAATCATTCCAGATTCTCATCTATTGATTGCGCATGAATGCAAATCTGGAATGACTTTGAAGGCCAATATTGCAAAGACGGAAAGAGAGAGAAACCTCATTCCATGTACCGGTGGGAGCTATTAGAGTGCTTTACTACATACAGGTGGCTGCATCACTCTAGTCTCAAAATGATGAGTTATTAAGGGCCAAATGATTCCAGATTCTCAACTATTTAGTGGACCATAGATTCAAATCTGGAATGACTTTGAAGGCCAATTCTGCGAAGAAGAGAGAAACCTCATTCCATGTACCAGGGGGGTTTAAGAGTGCCTTACCACATACAGGTGGCATCATCGCTCTAGTCAAATTAATGATGAGTTATTAAGGGAAGAAATCATTCCAGATTCTCATCTATTGATTGCGCATAAATGCAAATCTGGAATGACTTCGAAGGCCAATATTGCAAAGACGCAAAGAGAGAGAAACCTCATTCCATGTACCGGTGGGAGCTATTAGAGTGCTTTACTACATACAGGTGGCTGCATCACTCTAGTCTCAAATAATGATGAGTTATTAAGGGGCCAAATGATTCCAGATTCTCAACTATTTAGTGGACCATAGATTCAAATCTGGAATCAGTTTGAAGGGCTATATTTTAAAGACAGATGGAGATAGAAAAATGATTCTAGGTACCAGTGGGAGCTATTAGAGTGCCTTATCACATACAGGTGGCTGCATCACTCCAGGCACAATTAATGATGAGTTATTAAGAGGCAAAGTAATTCCAGATTTGAATGTATTGCATTATATGGATGAAATTTTCGGTGCTCTTCAAAGGCTACTATTTCTAAAACTGATTGACGGAACGGGTTGATTCAAAGTACCAGTAGAAGCTTGACAACTGCTGTATCACATACAAGTGTATCCACAATTCTAGACGCAAGTATCCGTGAGTTATTGAGGGACCAAATGATTCCAGATTCCTATCTATTGCATTACGTGGATGGAATTTTGGGTTATTGAAGGAACGGTTTTATTTCAAGTAGTTATAAAAGTTGGAAGACTCCTGTATAAAGGACAGGTGTCTGCATGACTGTAGTCTCAAATAATGATGAGTTATTAAAGGGCCAAATGATTCCAGATTCTCAATTATTTAGTGGACCATAGATTCAAATCTGGAATGACTTTGAAGGCCAATTCTGCAAAGACGGAAAGAGAGAGAAACCTCATTCCATGTACCAGTGGGAGGTTTAAGAGTGCCTTACCACATACAGGTGGCTGCATCACTCTAGTCACAATTAATGATGAGTTATTAAGGGAAGAAATCATTCCAGATTCTCATCTATTGATTGCGCATAGATGCAAATCTGGAATGACTTTGAAGGCCAATATTGCAAAGACGGAAAGAGAGAGAAACCTCATTCCATGTACCGGTGGGAGCTATTAGAGTGCTTTACCACATACAGGTGGCTGCATCACTCTAGTCTCAAATAATGATGAGTTATTTAGGGGCAAAGTGATTCCAGATTTGAATGTATTGCATTATATAGATGAAATTTTCAGTGCTCTTCAAAGGCTGATATTTCAAAAAAGTTATTGAAGGAACGGTTTTATTTCAAGTAGTTATAAAAGTTGGAATACTCCTGTATAAAGGACAGGTGTCTGCATGACTGTAGGTACATGTAATGATGAGTTAGTAAGGCACCAAATGATTCCAGATTCTCATCCATTTAGTAGGCTAAATATGCAAATCTGGAGTTACATGAAAGGCTAGCACTTTAAAGACAGAGGGAGAGAGTGGTCTGGGTCCAAGTACCTAAATGGCGATGCCCATATGGTGTCTGCAGACAATTGATGCTATATGGACATTTAACTGCAGGCAGGTCTTTTGCAGTGATGAAATTTTTAGGCCTTCAGGCTGAAATTTAATTAGTTTTTGCATAGTTTCTTTACATTTTCAACACAACAAGCAAGCCATGATTAGATATTGTTTACAGTTTAAAATTATTAATAAATACACAACTCACATAGTTTTATCATTCAAGCTATTTATAATCAGCCTCTATATTAACTTAATTGCCACATTTTTGTCATGGGAGAGTGTGGCCTTGCCAAGGGGGTCATCTTGGAAGACTGGGGGGCACCAACATTGAGATCTTTCCTTTCATGAAGTGTTATAACTGCCTGAGAGTGAGGAGGGACAAGGCGAAAATAGTTGGCCTCATTTTGGAAAAAAAACTTTCAACCCAAGTGCATAGATTCATAGGAAATGGTCCACTTGAATGCCTGGAATGAACACTGTAAAATAATTAAATAAAACTCAGAGTGTGTAGGTGTTGTGTATTTAATATTCTCATAACCATTAACATGTAGCATAAAAATAGAAATATTCTACTTCCTATGTCACAGGAAGAAGAAATAAATAAAAATAAGAGATAATTTCCAAGTTTAATCAATAATGTTCTTACCTTCCATGTTTCAATCTATTGTATAATGAATACCTGTAGAGGAAAACATGGAATTCCTCTGTCAACAGGAAGAAAAGGCTGCACCAGGAGCATGGAGCACATGGTAAGTGTCAGCTCTGTAATCATCGATTTTTCTCACACAGAAAATGTTGATACTTGGTTGATTTTGTTTTATTTCAGTGAGAAACATCCCAGTGTCATGTTTTTATGCAATTTTGTTTACTTGTAAAATGTAATTTTATTGCTTTTTCTATTGAACAAACCTATTAATGACGTAGATGTAAATGTGGAATGTAAATTTTATTTCCAAATTTCAATCTATCTTCCACTTAATTCATAAAATGAGATAAAAAAATAACAAACTTTATTTTGTATTGTTATACTTGTGTTCTAACTGATAGTTTATCCAGATTCAGCAATTACTGAACAAAAATTGCTACTAGTTTCCAACATGTTTATTACGGATGTGGTCCTTTTCATGCAGGTGTCAACAGGAAGTCAGGCGTGTGAACAGGAAATCAGGCGAGTCAACAGAAAGTCAGGCGTGCCGACAGGAAGTCACTAAGCAATGGCAGGCATGTTAATGTGTTTGTTGTACTTGTGTATGCTTACTAAATTGAATTTAATCACACAGATGTTCAACTTTCTAAAACCACTTAAATCTAACTGACCCTTGAATAGATCATGCTATAGAAATAGAGATGCAGATGCCAAATGAAGGCCCCTCCATCCACTTTGAGTTCCAGCCAGAACAAGGATCTCCCCAAGATGCACCATATAGGCAAGTACTATATATTTCAAATAGTATGATGATGAATCAAGTGATGTTTTTAATATATTACAATAGAGTGGTTTTGTTTCCCTTTTAGATTGGGAGTAATATGTGGACGAGCATGGGACATGTGGGACTTTTTCTTGCTAATTGAAGGTTTCACTGTAATTATGTTACTAAGCCTCCTTATCATGAAGATTTTCCGTGAATACAAGTACATTTAGCATTTTGGAGTGAAATGCAGGATGCAGGGGATATAGCCAGGATGGACAAAAAGAGGGAGGGAAGGGTTAAGATTTTTACTTTGTTTGGGATATTTATTTTTTAAGATGTTTAGTGTCACTTGATTTCTTGTTTGTTGAGTTTTGTTTAATTAAAGAGTTTCTACTGCAAAAGTTGAGTTTATTAATTTGTTTTTTAATTCCTGATTTGTGTGCTGTAAAAAACTGAAATAAATGTTTTCATCCCCCTGCTTTATGGAAGGGGACACAGAAGTTTGAGATTTTCCTCCTCCTTAATTGACGCAAAAGCTGATATATTAAAGACTGATTGAGAAAATTGGTTTACTGCAAGTACCAGTAGAAGCTTGTAGCTTGCTGTAAAATGTAAATGCTCCGTACTTGTATAGCGCCTTTCTAGTCTTTTCGACCACTCAAAGCGCTTTTACACTACATCTGCATTCACCAGTCATACACATTCATACACTGAGCCTAAGTGCTCAAACAGAAACTAGCATTCATACACTGGCGGAATAGCCGCCAGGGGCAGTACAGTATCTTGCCCAAGGACACTTCGACACGCAACCAGGGGGGAGCCAGGGATTGAACCGCCGACCTTCCGATTAACGGCCAACCCGCTCTACCTCCTGAGCCACAGCCGCCCCTGCAGTAACTGCAACACTCAAGGTGGGTGGGCTTTAGATGCATTTCTGGAATCACCTTGAAGGCCTATAGACAGAGGGAAAGAGATAAGGCTGATTCCAAGTACCGGTGGAAGCTTTTAGAGTGCTTTATCACATACAGGTGGCTGCATCACTCCAGGCACAATTAATGATGAGTTATTGAGGGGCCAAATGATTCCAGATTGTAATCTATTGCATTATATGGATGAAATTTTGGGTGCACACAATGGCTGAAATTTTACAAACTGATTGAATGAAACGTTTGATTTCCAGTAGTAATAAAAGTTGGAAGACCCCTGTATCAAGGACAGGTGAGCTAGTAAGGCACCAAATAATTCCAAGCTCTCATCTATTGAGTGGGCTAAATATGTAAATCTGGAAAAAAGCCAAAACTTTAAAGACAGAGGTAGAGAGTGGTCAGATTCCACGGACCTAAATGGGGATTGTTATGTTGTGGGGACAGAGTGGACCCAAATGAAACACTTGGGATGAACAGGCTTTATTGAGGGGGGAAAAAGGGGTTGAGGGAGTGGAGGTGATGGTGAGGCAGATGCTGGGGAGAAACGAGAATGGGGAGCCGAGCTGACTGAGACAAGGGAGCTGGGAGCACAGGGGACCAAGGAAGTTAGGAGGCACGGGGAGGAGCCGGGAGGACGCCGTGGAAGAGGTCTGAGGGGAGAGGGTGGCGAGCCCAGCTGAGGACGGAGGTGAGCGAACCTGGAGGGGGGATGAACAGACAGACAGGGTTAGACACTGGGGAAAACAGAGTACAGAGAAAGAAAAATAACGCAGAATATTCAGAGCTTGAGTGGTAAAATGGCACCGGGTAAGGAGCAATGACGATCAAGCAGCGGTTGACTGGAGAACCGAGGTAGAAGTACTGTCAGAGATGAGGCTGATTGCTGGCAGGTATGGCAGGCAGAGGAGGTGGCTGATGAGTTGCAGGTGCGGGTCGTTGGCTGGGCTCAGGAGCGGAGGGAGAGAGAGAGGGAGAGCACACTCAGGGGAGGAGACACAGGGAGGCAGGCAGAGTACAGGAAAAAACAAAACACCAGGGGAAAACAGAATCACAAGCAAAAAAGGGGAAATAAACAGGACACTCACTGTCAGCCAGGCTGCCACCATAACAGGGATGCCCATATGGTGTCTGCTGAAATCAGGGCATTTAAGGCCATTTGTTCTTATCTGGGTCCGTGTGGGTAAATGTCACTCATTCCAAACCGTCACACTGAGAATATTGATTGTGGCATCATATCTGCCTATGTGGGATGTACGCAAGATCACAAAAAAAAGTATGATCACATTTCAGACCATTTCGAGTTGCCTGCCACCAGTGCTGTGAGTAAATTTATCCCATTCCATGTTTTTATACACGGGACATGAATTTTGGAATCATGTTCCAAAGCTGGAATGTGGACTGTGGAATGTGAAATCAAGGTATCTCCATAAGTAGGGAGGCCCACATGGCTTCTGTGGAAAGAATGGGCACATTTGAGGCCATCTGACGTTGCCTGGCACCACTTCTGTGGGTGAACTTGTGTGAGTCCATATTTTGATTCAGTGTTTGATTAGTGGAATCATGATATTAACCATAGTGGGGATGAACATATCATTTCAGCAGAAGTTACAGTCAAATTTTTGGCCATATAGATTATGCAGGAGTCATCCTGAGGATTTCCTGAATTCTATTTTTTGACCTCAGACAGATATCTGACTAGGCAAGGCTGTAGGACTTATTGACTTGAAGGCGCCCCGCTCACTGATATGAACACATTGGTCATATTTCCTCACAGAGCCACGTGTAAGGCATCATCGGAAAGGTCTCAATGAGCTGAGCCGCGGCATCTTTCAACCAAAGCTGTCGCCCCTTCCTTTAAGGAGTTAGGGGGGGCAAGGTTTAAGAGAAGCAGTGAGAGATTAGGGACTAACACTGTTGAAAAGCTCTCAAAGAGTTGTATCACATATGTCACATATATGATACAACATAAATATATATATACATATATATATATATATATATATATATATATATATATATGACATAGGTGGCGCTGTTCTGGAACAAATTTTACAACTCTTGGGGTTAGAGACATGGATTCACCTGAGAGCCCTCGGTCAGACGAACGCAACGGTGGCCTCACTTTCCTCCTTGCTCGATTTCTTCAGGTTTTGAGAAGGAATAACTTCCTTCCATATTTACATCTATTGTTCTCAATTACAATCTCTTAAGGCAGGCGACCCTCCTGACTTTAGAACATATTTTGGGGTCCTTCCTGGGGGTGAGTGTGACCAAAACAGACACAATTCATCAGTGGGAAGCCAGGTTTCCAAGTCGCTATCCCACTGTATGGCGAAATGGGCCCCAGAAACACTGGGTGCTGTGTTAGTGGTGACCTGCTGACCTCAAATTTCTGGACACAACTTGGAAACAGAAAGGATTAGAGATACGGCGGGTAGCTGTTCCCGGATGATCTCAGGTAGCTGTATAACATATATCAAAAAAAGTCTTGAATTCTATTTTGTGGATTTTTTTTCCCACAGGCAGACCTCTGGGAGTTTTCATCTTTAGGCTTTTAGAGTCATTCCTGCTTGATTAGATGAAATGAGGTTTTACTTAGTTTCTATACCGTTACACTCACAATAAGCACACCATTATTTGATAGTGTTTAAAATATTCAGTTATAAAAATTCTTAACACCATGACAGAGACAGCAAGATCATTCAAGCTAGTTATATAGCAAACATCATCATTGTTAAATTAACTACTCCTGTCCTGCCAAGGCAGAGTATGCCCTGTCAAGTCAGGATGTAGTTTTTTAAAGTTTATGGCACAAAAGAGTCGGGGGTTAATTGGGGAGTAAGACTCATAGGAAATGGTCCATTTTAAATACCTGGAATATATCAAACATTTTAAATCATTGAATTACACTCAAATAGAGTAGATGGGTGCAGTGAAATTAATCATTTCACTATGATTAACTTGTAGGAATATAACCTTGCAGATTGCTGTATCAATGACAGGTACCTGCATCATTCTAGGTACAAGTAACAATGAGTTATCGAGGGACCAAAAGATTCCAGATACTCATCTATTGCATTCTATGGATGACATTGCGGGTGTACTTCATAAGCTGATATTTCAAAAACTGATTGAAGGAATTGGTTGATTTCAATTCAATTCAATTCAATTCAATTTTATTTATATAGCGCCAAATCACAACAACAGTTATCTCACAGCGCTTTTCATAAAAGAGCAGGTCTAGACCGTACTCTGTGATGATATTTACAGAAGCCCAACAGTTCCCACCAAGAGCAAGCACTAGGCGACAGAGGCAAGGAAAAACTTCCTTTTAAGAGGCAGAAACCTCGAGCAGAACCATGGCTCAGGGTGGGCGGCCATCTGCCTCGACCAGTTGGGGTGAGAGAGAGAGAGAGAGAGAGAAAGAGAGAGAGAAAGAGAGTGAAAGAGAGAGAGAGAGAGAAAGAGAGTGAAAGAGAGAGAGAGAGAAAGAGAGAGAGAGAGAGAGGGATGTAAGGAGAGAGAGAGGGGAGGGAGGCAGCCTACACAATATACACACAGAGGTACAGACAGCGAAGGTAATGTTGCTATAAACTAAATGAAAAATGGTACAGATATTTATAATAGTGTTAATGGTAACCATCATAATGTTAATGATTATAATAACAATAATAACAATAAGACTAGCAACAATAGTCGTTGCAGTAGAGGGTGTCGAGCAGGAACACGGGGGCAGCAGGCGACCCGCAGCCACAGATCCAGACTCCACAGCTCCAGAGCCAGAAAACCTGCAGGAAGTGATAGGAGGAGAGAGGAGAGGGACGAGAAAGCACAAGACTACCAGAAAGGGGAGAAGTTGTGTTAGTAACATGCAATAATGGGATAAGGTTGCATACAGAGGGAGAGAAAGTAGAGGAGAGAGGAGCTCAGTGCATCATGGGAAATCCCCCGGCAGTCTAGGCCTATAGCAGCATAACTAAGGGATGGTTCAGGACTACCTGAGCCAGCCCTAACTATAAGCTTTATCAAAGAGGAAAGTCTTAAGCCTACTCTTAAATGTGGAGATGGTGTCTGCCTCCTGAACCCAAACTGGAACCTGGTTCCACAGGAGAGGAGCTTGAGAGCTGAACGCTCTGGCTCCTAGTCTACTTTTGGAGACTCTAGGAACCACAAGTAACCCTGCATTCTGGGAGCGCAGTGCTCTGGTGGGGTAGTAAGGTACTATGAGCTCTTTAAGATAAGATGGTGCCTGACCATTAAGAGCTTTGTAGGTAAGAAGAATGATTTTAAATTCTATTCTGGATTTTACTGGAAGCCAATGCAAAGAAGCTAAAACAGGAGAAATGTGATCTCTTTTCCTGGTTTCAAGTACCAATAATAATTCAAAGACCCCTGTATCAAGGAAAGGTTTCTGCATCACTTAAAGTACAGGTGTTGATGAGTTATTAAGGAACCAAATGATACAAGTGGAGGGCTCTATCACATACAGGTGGCTGCTTCACTCTAAGCAAAAGTAATGAGTAGTTATTAAGGAACCAAATGTTACCAGATTCTCATCTATTGCATTATATGGATGAAATGTTGGGAGCACATCAAAGGCTGATATTTCAAAAACTAATTGAAGGAATGGGTAGATTACAAGTACCCATACAAGCCTGTAGACTGCTTTATCACATACAGGTGGCTGCATCATTCCAGGCACAATTAATGATGAGTTATTAAGGGGCCAAATGATTCCATATTCTAGTCTTGATATGCAAATCTGGAAATACAGTAGTGGCTAGCACTTCAAAGAAAGAGGGAGAGAGTGGTCTGGGTCCAAGTACCTAAATGTCGATGCCCATATGGTGTCTGCAGAAATCAGGGCAACGATTAAGGCCATTGGTTCTTACCTGGGTCTGTGTGGGTAAATGTCGCTAATTCACAACTGTCCTACTCAGATTATTGATTTATGTCATCATGTTTGTCTATGGGGATGAATGCATGGTCTCAACAAACAGGCATAGTGAAATCTCAGCGTATTTGGGGTTGCCTTGCACCAGTTCTGTGGGTTGATTTGTCCCATTCCATGCATTCAAACACAGAAGGTTAATATGGGATTTATGACTTTTGCCAATGATCCAAATTCAAATAGAAGCTTGTAGACTGCTGCATTAAGGACAGGTGGATGTATAATTATGGACACAAGTTACTGTAGAAACCAAAAATTCTAAATTCTCAATAGTAAAGGATGGATGACACTTTGGAATTTACTTCAAAGGCTGATATTTCAAAAACTTAGTGAATTACTGGGTTGATTTCAAGTACCAATAAAAGTTTGAAGACTGATGTATGAAGGACATGTGTCAGCATCACTGTAGGTACAAGTATCAATGAGTTATCAAGGGACAAAATGATTCCAGATTCTTATCTATTGCATTATATGGATGACAGTTTGGGTCCACTTCAAAAACTGATTAAAGGAACGGGTTGATTTCAAGTACAAATAATCGGTGGAAGACTCCTGTATCATGGACAGGTGGCTTCATAAATATAGGTACAATCATTGATGAGTTATGAAAGGACCAAATGATTCCAGATTCTCATCTATCAAGTGGGACATAGACTCAATCTGGAATAACTTTGAAGACCTATATTTTAAAGAGAAATGGAGAGAGATTCCAAGCACCAGTGGAAGCTTCATCACTCTAGGTTAGTTATTAAGGGACCAAATTATTCCAGATTCTCATCTATCTCATCTATTTAGAGAACAAATGGAAGCTAGTAGATTGCTATATCAAACACAGGTGGCTTCATCACTCTAGGTTTATGTAGCGACCTTAGAATATTAGTATTTGCCTATGTGTGTAGGTCCCCTTTTCTCTGAGAATGGGACACTTTCAGACTATTTGGAGTTGGCTGGTAGATAAATGTGACTCATTCCCTAAAACCACAGTTTAAGATTTTTCACCTCATGAAGTGTTGTAATTATCTGAGAATGATGAGGGACAGGGAACATGTAGGTGGTATCGTTTTGGAACAAACCTTTCAACAAACGTTCATAGATTCATCGGAAATTATCCACTTTAAATTCCTTCAGCAACATTGTAATTATTAAAAAGAAAATCATACAGCGTGCAGG